TCAAACGTCACTACGAATGTACAAATGGGAGTGGAGCGTGCCGCGTTCCCAGACGGGATTGATCAACGACAAAAAGCTTTATCTTTTCATTATATAAGCAGTTTACAATCACGACAGTGCCTGATGAAAGGCGTGTAAGAACATGCGAGACTGATATGTCACAACTGATAGTAAGGTTGGAAAGTATCAAAGCAGTAGGTTTCATTTTCACGTTGGGCAACTTATCTAAGGTGTGGTAAGCGTTAAGTTTATATGACTGTGCGATATCTTTAGGAGTGCTGTTGGTGCTGGTTTACTGATATCGCTAGGGGAGATCGCTATGTGGAATGCACAGCATTCAGCTTCTATGAAAATCGCTAACACACCCCCTTCCTTGGGTTAGTCCCCCCTTAGATAAGTCCTAGGGCACTAACCCAAGGAAGGGGGTGTAGTAGCGATTTTCATACCTCCGGTTCATCCTCACCTCCTCAGCTCAATCTACATAGCAATGCCTCCCCCTTCTTCCCCCTTCACACCCACCTACACTAGCGCTGTGCTGTTTTCAAAAATTGGCATTCCGCCAACTATTCACGGTCAGCAGCTTTGATAATCGCTTCAGCAAGCCCCTTGAACATGTTTGTATCCATATGTATCGGCATCTAAATCCGTATCTTCTAACTTGCCCTATCAATCGAACCGTGATGCATGCTGGCATGATACCGGCCATCGGAATTAACATGTCCAAAGGCCGCGTTCATAGTTCGCGATTCCGCAGATTAGGATAGTAGGCGACAGGGTATTAGTAGCAGATTAGAATGGTACCCTGACATACGTATCTATTAGAATCGCTGGGGGAACTGACCAATATGCATCTAATCTTGCCAGCGCACTATCCTACTCTCCTATTATCCTAATCCACTATTATCCTGATTTCCCTTTTATGCAACTCTATCTTGATACATATCTTTTCATTGTCGCCTGCTATCCTAATCGCAAAGTATGAACGCGATCGAACGAACAATTGCTCGGTCGTTCGTTATTCCTTGTCGAAAATGAAGGGACTTCTTCTTTCTCACTAGCGCCACTCGACATAAACTCCCTACCTGTCAGAACTCATCGTAATCCATGCCTCTAACCATAAGCTTAAGTATTAACGTGAGTATAAGGAATAAGCACACGGCGTTACCGACCGTTGCTTGCGATACGCTCCGTATGTTACTTCAGTCTAGGGTCTTTTGCAATCTTAATTAGATTGTCCTATACAATGGACAGCTGGGCCAGCAGGTTTCAAGTCAGAAATTTCATCCTTCACGACAAGTATTGTACCAATTATATGACTGGGAGGGATTGAAGACTTGGTTGGCTTAGGTGGCGTACGATCTAGAAATTGATCCTCGGAGCTGACATGGAAAGCAGCGCCACTTGCCACTACATCACTTCCTCTCTTGCATTTGAATGTACTATGAAAAAACTACTACTACTATGAAAAAATACACATTTTTGAGTTGATTAGCTCATAAAGCAGCTTAGAGATGGACACTTCTACACATGGCAGCACGTCTTTGATAATCTGTGCCACTACGCAACGCCACATTGTCGTGTCCTCGGTAGTATAGTGGTGAGTATCCGCGTCTGTCACATGCGAGACCCGGGTTCAATTCCCGGCCGGGGAGAAGTTTTGCTCCTCCGCACCAAGACACCCCTGCTAAGCAATTCCTTAAGAAGTGCGATGTTATGCCCCATAAACGGTCTTTGGTAAGTACAGGGGTGGCCAAAAGAGAGACACTTCACTTCAAAGTTCAGCCAGCATTAATCACACTTTGCTAGAATCAAATCGACTGAACCCAACTTAGTATTAAAGAGCACACTCTAATCTATCTAAATGTCACGTGACAGCCTTCTGCACCGACTACATCAGAAGATTTTCCCACGGAAACATGGTTCACGGTACGAGCTCAACGAGGTCGTCGATGTACCATAGGCCATTACGACCTCCCCGAAACGCTGCTTAAAAGCGGTCTTGCACAGTAACAGCTAGTGTCTCCTAGAAGTTATTCAACATCCAATCAATTGAAGAAATCATGTAGCAGCTTCAGGCCGGAGCGATTACAGCAAGCCTCGTTGAGCTCGACGGTGACGACAGATGACGTCATATTTTGAAGACGGTGGAGGCAGTGAAAAAGGGCCTACTTCTGCTTACGTGGGAACATCTTAGGAATATTCCGCCATAAAAACTCTCATTAACATCGGCGCCCTGTGCGACAAAAAGTTCGATGATGTGCGCCATAGGCAAAGTGTCTCTTTTTTTTTGGCTCACCCCTGTAGTTAAGAGATCATTGCCATCTTACCCTAAAACATACCCACTTCCTGATCAGGGCACTCTTTGTTCGTTCAGCATCGAATGAAACTATTGCTCGTTGAATTTTATAATTTCAGCTATTCAAAGCGTTGTGCTACTTGGTTGCTACGTTTCGTTCCCTTACGAACTGTATCTAATTGGGATACCTACAGAAGATTCAAAATGCAGTTAAGAAGAAACATCTCAGAGCCAAAGATATGGAAACTCTGGAGGAAGATCCTAATGCGAGTCTGAGCGCGATTGATGGCCAAACTACTTCAGTAAAATAATATTTACCCGATCGATTAGTTGGATGTACAAGGCGGAAACGCATTTTAAAATTCCAGATAAAATGGCCAATTTTTGTGTAGATTGATGACTCGTTCCCTAAAATTCACCCCAATCTCACACCGCTGATTTTTGAAGCAGCGACAGCCTAGGAGAGCATGAACATAACTATTTCAGATAGCTTATGGCCAACCTACTGCTGATCTGTGTCACCCTTTTTGTGCCACCCTCGATAATCGCGCTGAACCCTCATCCGAAACTGCTACTCATATCTATGGACGGCTTTCGATATGATTTGCTTACACCTGAATATGTGAGTGAAAATGTTTAAAGGAATCTTCCACGGAAAGACTGCTTATCCTTTCCTTGTGTACAGGTGTTGGGCATGGTCATTGAAGACCATATGCAAAGTTCAGAGCGAAAATGATGAAACCCCCAAGAGAAACAGCCCTTGGAAAGACCCATCTGTGGGACCGGATTGGACCAGTAGGCGGGACCGGAAGTGCTTCTGTGACGAAGTGCGTGGCAGGTGCGGATCCACGTGTCAGTTTATGGGAAGGGCCCAACATGAATCCAGTTCACGTTCACGCTTTTGACACGTTTGCACGTGTTGACTCCACGCCGCTAACAGTTGTGGAAGTTTTACAGCGGGAATTCAAAATTTTCATAGTCGAACTGGTTATCATAATTATTATCAAAACCATCGCCTATGTTCCGTTCTTTTTGCTATCTTCATGAAGCAAGGGGCCTAAGGTATCGTTTTTGTAGGAATGGAGGCGATGTTTTTCCGTGGAAGATTCCTTTAATGCTTTTAGACAGATTTTGTTTTTAGCGAAGGAGGTTTTCGTGATTGCAAACATAGTGACACACACAGCATCATGAGGCATCAAGAGCATCAAAAAAGCCCACACAACATCGATTTTTTCCCGAGCCTGTTGCCAAGGGTGACACTGGTTTCTTCAGTCGCGCCAAACCTCCTTTCCAACACGGAGAAACAAAAGATATTCGAAGATACCTTATTTATTATTTACCTCAAGAAAGAGTTTTACAGGTTCCAAATATTTATAAATGGGCCACTCAAGGAACTTGGTTTACGAGTGGCATGCGAGTCCAGTATGTTAGTTACACGACAACAAATCATATGGGCATGGTTTCAGGTTTGTATTTCATCACTCCCACTTTTATAGGAGTAAAATGATAAACTGTCGAGATGCGCCATGCATCCGATTTCCTTTGAAATCCGATGACGCAGATAATTATGTATGAGATCTAGAGCACCCGGGGCATGGGGGCAATGTTTAATTAGCATTTCTATAGCCAAGACAGAATCAGGATGAACAAACTGATATTGATTAGACGGAAGGCAGAAGTTGGCCTGAGCAAGCTTTGATCCAACAGTTTGAAAAACTGACAGCGGCGCCTCTTACCACTGACCCATTGTTTCCAGACACTTACTAACTCTTTTCAGGTCTTCATGCAGAAAATCATGGTATCATTTCCAACATATTTACCGAACACGATGAACGAACAAATACTTTTACTATGTAAGTTGCATGGAAACTTTGGGCCTCATTTCTACTGTGAATGTTGAAGATACTGTAATTATAGGTATGACTACTGGAATTTCTCTGCAATGCCAGGAACTTTCGAAACTTCCAGACAAGAGTCATGGTATTTTGGAGAACCAATATGGATCACAAATGAAAAGTACGCTGAAATTGATCATCAGATGGAAAGAGTCTGGCTCATGTGGTTTAATCCTGCTCAGGTGGCCTCCTCCTCATTTCATTTTTTGTTTGAAGTTGTTTCCCGAACGCAGCAAATAAAGTCACCATTAGAAAAAGATCACACCGACTTGAGGTCTTATACAATCTTTGAATGAGGACTCTGGACCGCGTTCAGGTCCAACGACTTGGCTACTGAAATGGGTGGTAAGACATCCTTTGATTTCCCTTGCGATGCGAATCGCAGCTGAGCCTGCTCTCTTGTTGTGATTCAGATGGTTCTCATCAGAAAAGTCACAAAGTTCTGACCCAGTAGGCCACTAAGATCCTGCACGCATTCAGTGTTATACCACCTCGAGATATTAGAGTTTGGTATCTGGATCTTAGGTTTTTAGGTTGAGTCTCAGTGAAGGGAGGATAATAGATAAGGGTAGGGTTGAAGCCGGTTTCACACGGCTTAGATGCAAGGTGACGATGGCATCGTAAAAAATGAACCGCTTCCATTTGCAAGACCTTTTGGTTCGAGGTTTGTACTCCTAATCGATTTGCAGAATTTTCAAATTCGGTAAACATATATAGAAGTGGGCGTGAAGTGTTTGTAACGGGATTAAAGGACGGAATTTCACTATTAGAATGAATGGTCTGGGAAGAAGGAAGGGAGATTTACCTAAGTTGAGGGACCCGCAACTCTAAGGGTGCGGAACTTGAAGCGCAATTGGCACCGAAGGAGTTGACCTCGGCGACCTATTAAGGCTCAATCTTGGCGCGGTGGGCCAGTGCACGCCCACCGATCATCTGATCACTCGCCGCAGGTCTATACGTGGCGAGTGATTAGATAGGTGAGAGAGCGTAGTGTTGAAGAGGGCACAGCGATGAGAGTCGCATCAATGCTCAAATCAACGGGCAAGGAAGGGGTCCATTTCTCGGGTTCTGGGCCGTTTCTCATGGTTCTTCCTTCTTTCGTGTACCACTCACCATCCCTAGGTTAATTTGAAATGGGTTGCTTTTTCATCGTGAATTCGTCCTTTAAGGTGTGAAAACTTCGCCTCTTACTTTTGTAAGTTACCCAATATAAAGCCATTACTGAGCTGCAGAAGAAGAGATCTACATATATGGTTTGGGAGAAGTAGTATATTCCGTAAAGAGAAGGTCCTACCCTGCGCCCGCACGACGGTGTTAGAGGTGGAAGTTTCGGTCGAAACCTCGTCTGGGGCACTATTTTGCACCACTTCAAGATTCGACGGACAGACCGGTAGATGCAGGCAGCTACTGAAATCATTTATGAGTGTAATCGCATTGAGTATAGCGTCGGTCTTGAATCCAAGTGGAATACGTGGCGCATTTCAAAAAACGACTTATCATCGCCAAATTCCTCATCCGTTTGGTTCTCACTATGAAGGCGAAGGATGCACGAGAATTATGGTAGAGGGAGTTCGAGGACAAGGCTCTGTGTTGAGATGAGATTGTGAGGTTGGCTCTTTCAGTAAAGGGTTGGGGGATGGGGGGGGAGGTTGTGTGGGTAGATACGGCACCATGGGACTAGGTGGAGGTGGAAGTGGGAGAATTGGTATATGAGCCAAAGAAAAGGTTGGATATGGGTCCTGGTGGACTTGCGCCTACCGAACATAACATTTTTTCAGCGGTTTCCAACTTATGCCCTCTCTTGGGCAGTCCAATCATAACCGCAACACAACCTTTGATCTCAATAGGTATGAGGGCATTTTCAGGGCAGACTCGTCAAGACACTCCGCTTGTCTTCAATGGCCAATGTGTGATGCAAAGTTCCCTAATGCTGAAAAGCCGGCATACTTCACGTAAGTCTCTGATGTTTGACAGAAAAAAAGCTGATTGAGGTATAGGGACGTCAATCCACTGTTTAGAGCTATGCTTAGAGTCAAGCTACAAGCCAAAATGCTTGCAATATTTCAGAAACCATGTGCTTAGAATCACAACAACATCGTAACACTTTAGACTTCTTGTACAGTCCACAACGGGAGTTGGGGTAGGCGTGTCACCGGAAATGACGTGCGGCACCGCACTTGATAGATGTCGCGTGGATAAGCTGCTTCCAACATACATCGCTGGATATCAGCAAAGCATGCTGGCAACAGCTTATCCACGCACTTCTATCAAGTGCACGTCACTTCCGGTGACACATCTACCCCATGAGCTGTATTACCTCCCCTTCAAAAAGCGAGAAAGTGTCGGGTGCAGACCATACACCACAAGTGACGACGGCCTCCACAAAATGTAAATGTTTTCTGCCAATGAAATGATTAGCCTGTTGCAGTTGTATTCTATCAGTTGTCACTAATTACAACTATCATTTACCAAAATCAGCTATCACTATGAACCACTACTAACCAGATTTACTTGGAGGCCGTCGTCAGTTGTGGTGTTTGGTCTGCACCCACACTTTCTCGCTTTTTGAAGGGGAGGTACATTTTACATGAACATCTTCCTGCGCTAATCAAAAGCTGAGAGCGTCTTAAATTATCACTAACTTATCTGCGTTACTATTTCTTCCGATTAAAAGTGGCAGTGTCAGAACTGCACCGGTCTGTTCTCATGCTATCCATTTTTTATGTGATAAATCGCATCACATTATCAAGACTGTCAGTATTCCAGAAGCTGGACAACGTATCAAAAATACGAAGATTGGATGAAGGATATACACACAATCATCGACCTATTCACGAAAGAGAGCGATCCAATGAATTTTGTTGCGTGGTGAGTTCGATTTGAATATAAGTTCAGAAACGAGCAAAGCTAAAGTTCAAAGTTCAGAAAGTTTCGAAACAGTGCGCAACTTATTTTCCATTACATCTCTCATGTAGCAAGCCCAAAGCACACCGTAACCTGGACCCGTTGCCTATAAAGGATAAAGGATAAAGCATTTGCCGTTGATCAATCCCTTTTTGGGATGCGGCACGCATTCTACTTCCATTTGTACATTCGTAGTGGCGTTTGAATGCGATGTGGCCTATACAATGACTTGCGGGGGCCAGCCGATGTACAAGTCAGTGTTTTTATCCTCCCAGACAAGTCTGGTACCAATTAACCGACCCCGGAGGGATGGAAGGCTTGGTTGGCCCGGGCGACTCACGACCCAGGATTTGATCCCCGGACCGCTCGCGTGGTAAGCGTGCCACTTGCCACTACACCACTTCCGCCCTCCCGTTGCCACAACAAACAAAACTACAAGATGCAACCTAGACAGCCATATGGGTGGATGTATGTATTAAACCTTCATCACAGTGGTCGTATTCATTGCAAAGGATACCCATCTAAGGTGAGATCAAATATTG